GGGGGGGGGGGCTGTGTGCCGGGAGGTCCCAGGAAAGGAGCTCAGGTGCCAAGCGGGTTTCAGGCGACGGGAGAGGCTGCCAGGGTGTGTGGCTCCTGAACCCCGGCCTCTTTCCCAGGGAGCGGCAGAGGAACCGGCCCGAACTGGATCCCGCCGGCGGACTGGGGCAAGGCGGCTTCCCCTGCCTCTGTCCTCCGGAAACATGCCGCCTGCTCTTCCAGGATGGCTCAGGGCCGAAGGCTCGCGACAGCCGGGGTGTGTGTGTGTGCGCCACGGGCGGGGCCCTGCTCTCTCCTCCAGAAGGGCTTTGGGGGTGGGGCCGTGGGGAGAGCACCAGGGGCTCAGGCCGAGACTAGAGGCTTCTATCTCCCCCCCTCCACTAGGAACCCCATGGCCGTTTTTGCTCCCCATGCCTGCCAGGGGCCCTCCCTCCCTGACTGCTGGCAGACCAGGCACTGTTGGCTCGCCCCGCAGGGTGGGTGTGCGCCACAGAGGGAGCCCCTGGCTGTCACCGGGGACTGCAAGGGAAGGGCTCTTGGGAGAAGGGTGGGGGAGCATCCCGGACCTCAATGTGTGAGTCGCCTCTGGGGCAAAGAAGGGGGCCCACTTGGTACCGGAGCCGTCTGGCTGGGCAGAGGTAGGGAACGGTTCGGCCTGCTCCTGTAGTCAGCGTGTGGGCAGCCGTCCTCGTGTGCTGGAGGACTCCCAGCATTCCAGGTGGCAAGAGGTCCAGCAGCGGGGCCAGAATGCCGAAAAGACCTCCCACCCTTGCCCCCCAAGCACCCAGAAGACAGAGCATCACTGCCCCAGATATATGAACATGAGAGAAACCATGCTGGATCAGGCCAATGGTCCCTCTAGTTCAGCGCTCTGTGTCACACAGTGGCCCAAACCCAGGTGCCACCAGGAGGTCCACCAGTGGGGCCAGAACTCCAGAAGCCCTCCCACTCTTGCCCCCCCCCCCAAAAGAATTCAGTGCATCACTGGCCCCAGACTGAGTGTACCATCTAGATCTTGTGGCTAAGAGCCACTCGTAGACCTCTGCTCCAGATGTTTCTCCAATCCCCTCTTGAAGCTGTCTTTATGCCCCCCCCCCTTTGGCTGAGGTTGTCATTCCCCACCACCACCACCTCCTCAACATAAACAGCGTGACTCCTAGGAGAGAGAGCTTCGAACAGCCAGCATTTTTATTGGCTCGTTAAAGGCTATTTTTCCCCAACACACAGCGACAGGCGTGCTCTTTCCCACAGACCAGGTGGAGCGCAGGTGCATCCTCGATCCATCTCTTCTGCCACCACCCGCCCAGCATGGTGGCCAGCGGGCCAGGCTGGGATAAGCGACTGCTGCAGCTGCCCCCCCCCCAAGTGAAGGCACCACGGCAGGCAGGCTTAAGAGTAGTGTGTGTGGGGGGGTCGCTTCTCACTCCTGCAAGTCCAGCTCCCTTTTCGGACCAGGTGATTAAATCTCTCCCTCTGCCTCTCCCTCCGCACTCAGAACCTGCTAATTCACCCCTGGCCTGGCTTCCTAAGGCTGCCACCACCCACCCTTTGGCTGGGACAAAACTGTCTTTTCACGTGTCAGACAGAGAAGCAGCCAAGGGCGTTTCCCCCCAAACTCCTGCCGCCACCCCCTCCCCCCAGAGCACTAAATCTGAAACTGCCCCCTCCTGAGAGGAACCAAAGAGAGAGTCAAGGGCTGTTCACCAGAAGAGAAGGGAGAGAGGCTCCCCCGGGCTCTCTGGCCCTGCTGCACGGAGGCAAAGGCCCTTTAAGCCATCTTGTGGTCCGACAAGGACGCCTCCCCGTCGCTGTCCAGCTCCCCCATGCCCAGGGTGGAGACGCGGAGGGAGTCGTAGTTGGGTGGCGGTGTGCCCGGTTCGCAGGCAGTTTCCGCCTGCAGGTAACGCGCGGCAGCTTCGTCCTCCCGGAAGGCCCGGTTGGTGTGGGCCTCCACCCGCTGCGCCACGGTGGGAGGGGCTGTCGGGGGGGCCTTGCCCCGCCTCTGCCGCAGCCCTTTGCACCAGCCAATGAGGTTGAGGATCGTGATCCACAGGAAGTCGATGATGATCTCTCCGAACTCGATGAGGCAGAGGACGGAGCCCCCCATCCAGAAGCCGAACTGGCCCCCCAGGTTCGAGAGGAGCCACACCATCTGCGGGGCGGGGGGAGACACACAAAGAGAGCGGGTGAGGATGGAAGGCTGCCCCAGGGAACGGCAGGCTCCTGAGCGCGCTGGCCTCCCTGGAGTTCTCCTGCCCAGATTCGTATTTTGTTCAGATTTGGGGTTTTGGTGGAACAACTTCCAAGTGAGCAGGCGGTTTAAGGCAAATTAGGGGGCCAACATCCCGGATTATGGCTGCCCCACGGAAGCAGGCCTTAAGGTTTCGGACGCTAGGGGAGAGGAGAGCCCTGGAAAATGGAACGCGGAATGTCGACAGGGAGCTTACGGATGAGACAGAATCAGTTCAGGAAGCAATTTCCCTCCAGGCCAGTTTGGCTGGGGATCCTGCAGGCTTTTTGGTCACTGTGTGTGGGTGGGGGGCGACACTCCCTCTCAGCTGTGGCGTCTCGTGAGCAAAAATTCTACCTTGTGAGCTCCTGGCATTAAAGTTGTGAGCGAGCAATTTGGCTCCTGTATAGATTAGTTCGCGCTGCAGCCATCTTTCCTGAGCTGAGACAAAAATGTGTGAGCCGGAGGCTAAAAAACTGTTAGCTGGCTCACTAAGTCAGCTTACAGGGAACACTGGTGGGGGGGATGTTTGTGAATTTCCTGCATTGTGCAGGGGGGGTTGGACTAGATGACCCTGGAGGTCCCTTCCATCTCTGTGATTCTGTGAGTCATTCAGGATGATGAAACCCAAAGCAGACTGTGAAGAGCTCCAAGAGGCTCTGTCAAAATTGGGAGAACGGGCAGCAACGTGGCAAATGAAGTTCATTGTGGGCGACTGTATGACGATGGGTGGAAATTACAAGGGAGTCAATACCGGCTAACTGGAAGAGTGGTTGAGCAGGGGAACAGCCCTACATACCTACAACATACCCGAAAGATGGTTGTCCAGCCTCCTCCGCTTGGAAACGTCCAGCGAAGGCGCATCCACCACCTCGCAAGGCAGACTGTTCCACTGCTCAACTACCCTTACAGTTAGGAAGTTTCTCCTGATATTTAGCCGGTAACGACTCCCTAGTAATTTCCACCCATTAGATCTAGTCTTCGCAATCCGGAGCAAGAGAGAATAGATCCGCTCCATCTTCTACATGACAGCT